TATATATATATATATATATATATATATATATATATATATATATTATACTAGTCATAGGCTTATAGAGCTACAGCATTAGAGCTATAGAGTTATACTTATAGAGTTATGGTTATAGAGTGATAGAACTTTTAAGTTATAGAGTTAATGAGCTGTAGCCATTTTTGTGCTTTCTAATGTTGGTTACTTGTGGTTGCATTCCTTAATTGGTTTAACTTGATTTCTAAAAGTTTAATGAGCTTTTGTGCTTTGTGAGGTATTTTGCTAACAGATAGAAACAAACATTCATCTGTTCTGTCCTTGGTTCTGTTTCAGAGGATGCTGCAGACCCAGAGAGCATTGAACTTGTGGCCAATGAGGTTTTATCCATGCAAATGCCGACCACTCCGGCCCATCTGCAGAACCTTACTGAAGAGATTCGTCAGAGGGTGGGGGAGCTCGGACACATAGAGAACATCCTGCAGCAAAGCGCCGATGACATCCAGAGAGCTGAAGTCCTGCTGGACCGAGCCAGCAGAGCCAGGTGAGTTCTGCTGCTTCATGTACAAATATTCAGTCTGCCAGGTTTTGATTGGGGCAATGTAGACAACATAGAGTAGACATTAAACAGTAAACAATATCCATTGCTTACTGTTGTTTATCAATAACATTTACGTCAAAACTCTCGGTTGCTTTATTGTACCGTATTGTAAAAGGAGAGCACTTATACTGAGCATATCACGGTGGCGCTTTGGTAGAGCTGTTGTCTCTCAGCGAACAGGTCGCCGATTTAAATCCCGGCCAGGGGCCTTTCAGGGTGGAGTTTGCATGTTCTCTCCGTGCAAGCGTGGGTTTTCTCTGGGTACTCTGGTTTCCTCCCACAGATCAAAAACATGCATGTTAGGCTGATTTGTAACTCTAAATTTTGTATTTGTAATTGTTTTTTTTAGTCTTTCAGGTACATCTGGAATTACCATTCTATGTTCGTCTGTCTCTCCTTCCTGTCCTCTCAACCAGCCGGTCAAAGCAGATGGCTGCTTGTCCTGAGCTGGTTCTGCTGGAAGTTTCTTCCTTTTAAAAGGGAGTTTTTATTTCCACTGTTGCCACTGTGCTTGCTCAGGATGGAGACTGCAACAAAGCCAAGATTTAACTTGTCTGCTGGATTCCTTAGATAGAGAACTTTACTAATTGGCTTTTATGTATGTGAATGTTCCTGTAAAGTGCCCTGAGAAAAACTTGGTTGTGATTTGGCGCTATATAAATAAACTAAATTGAAGTGAATTGAATTGAAATTCAAAGTATGAAACTCTGTCAGCTGTTCGTCCCGCATGCTGTTAGAATGACAGATATACTCTCAGCAGCTGTGGGACACCCAGTTCCTTAATGCTCACCTGAGATCTGTGTCATTTTTAAATCAGCAACAAATCAGGTGAAAATTAATCTTATCATGTTAAAAAAAGCAAATGACATGCAGTTTAAAGTATGGTTGTATGTAAAATGTTTGTTTGAATACATATTACACATGAGTTTATGTAGGCAGCTGCATCAAGAACCAAGAAAAAGAAAAGTCCCTGCTATGCAGCTTCAAACTATGCCCTAATGGCTCTAAATCTGAAGTACTACCGGTATATAAATTTGTTTTTGGGGAGAAACACAAACAACCTTCTTGCGCAGTTTTACAGAAACAGGGATTGCCCCCCACCCCACTCAAAAAAAAAAAGCTGATTGTTGGTTTTATGATGATGGAGAAAAGTTCAGTTTAACTCCCAACCCAACGTCACAGTTTCTCGTCAGTCTTGCAGTGCCACCCTCCTGCATGTCAGGGATTTTGGTCAAGGTTTATGGATGTTTTTAACGACTACCTGTGTTGCTGAGAATGTTAACTGCCCATGAACCATGTTGTTGAGTTGGCAAAGAGTTATTTTCTCTCAGCGAGGGCTGAATGAGGAGCTGATTTGATCCTGCATGTGCAACTGTGTGGCCGAGGTCATCAGCCTGTGAGACGAGAGCTGATAAGGTTATAAAAACAATTCTCGCACGCTGCCCGAGGCAGATTCTCATGACTGGGCTCCATGCATGTAGAACTTCTGTACATCTGTGTAACCTGTGGTGAAAGTCTGCCCTTGCAAGTCAAACCAGTTAAAAAGTCTTCTCGTGTCCTCAAGTGAGGCATCTTTGAGTGAGATGAGGATATTTTTTATCCAACACTACCCTGCTCTTTCATTCCTCAGGAAGGATGCATCTGATGTAAAGGACTCTGCAGAGAGAGTTAAACAAGCTCTGGAAGAAGCTCAGCGAGCTCAAGCCACTGCCAGCAGCGCCATCCAGCAGGCCACCACTAACATCCAGACCACCAACCACCTGCTCTCCTCTGTCAGTACTCACCTGCCACCACCTGTCTGCCTGCTGCTGTCACGCAAACATAACATGTTACATGTCCGTGCTGTGTTCAGGTACAGTCGCAAACGGCAGACGCAGAGCTGAAGCTGCATAACGCCACCCAGAGACTGCAGAGGCTTGAGCAGGATGTGCTGCTGCTCAGAGATAAGTCTGTGAATGTCACGCTGAGTAGCAACCTGACCAATCAGGATGCTGCGAACATCGAACAGATCACCAAGGACCTGAAACAGGTGAGCTCACCTCTGATTTGTTACAATCTGTTTGTTTCAGGAGATCTGACGACCAGCTGTGATACCTCCGTTCACTCTTGGTGGTAAATTGTGTACCCCAAAACATTTTGGGTCAGAATGTCAAAAACCCTGTCTATATGCAGATACACACACTGCCACGTCCCACACAGTATGGGATGTCGTTTGTAAAGATACACAGTCAAAAATTAATATATTGGTTTATTTAGCCTTTCAAAAGAAAAAATAATTGTTTTGTTTTTTTTCAAAGTCATAGTTTCACCATGTCATTCATACATTTATAAATGTCATATTTCCAAACTAAATATTTAATTTGCAAGCTAAATATTTATTTTCCAAACTAAACATTTAATTGCCAAAATAAATATTTAGCTTGTAAGTTAAATATTTAGGTCTGAGCTAAATATTTATTTAGCAAATTAAATATTTAGTTTAGGAATTAAATGTTTAGCTTAGAGATTAAATGCTTAGTTTGGAAATTAAATATTTAGCTTGGAAATTAAATGTAATTTGGAAAATAAATATTTAGCTTGGAAATTAAATATTTATCTTACACCTAAATATTTAGTTTACTAACTAAATATTTAACTTGTAAGTTAAGTACTGGTATTTAGTTTGTAAACTAAATATTTAACTTGAAAATTAAATATTTAATTTGAAACTATGACATTTATAAATGTATGAATAACTGAAAATATGACTGAAAAAACCCTCTTTTTTTCCTTATGAAAGGCTAAATAAACCAAAATATTGCTGTTAATTTTTGACTGTGTAACTTTACAATTGGCACCCCATAACAAAGAACACATTTAGACACATGAAGCATTATTTAGAGGTTAACACAGTTTCATGTCTTCATAGTTATTTCTTGAAGAACGTGATTATGTAGCAGAGAGAATATGAGGGAAATAAAGACGTCATCCTATATGTTGGTCCATCCCAAGGACAGAACCCCCAAAGCCAAACTGAGCAGTGTTTCTGCAGGTCAGTGCAGAGAGGAACGTTCAGAGAAACACAACCTCTCCACACACGCATAGCTCAACACCAGAGTGCAGCTCTGCAGGTCAAGACCCAGCGGTCCACCTACAGCTCAAAGATAAAGGACCAAAATGTTCACGTTGGAACTTAGAAAGCTTGAGACGTGAACTGTAATCAGCTACAGAATAGAAGTCAGTTTTTTTTTTTTGTTTGTTTTTTTTTATTTTAAATTTTTGGATTTGCCATGTTCTGGTTGTAACTGAGACTCTCTCCCAGCATACTGTGTTCAGTGTCACAGGAAATACTGACGGTTTTAATCAATCAAACTTGACTCACGTAAAATGGTGAAATAACAGATGGCAGAAGTTGGACCCAGCTTCACTGTGAGCGTCCCATTAGCTCTGTGATTTTTGATTTGGTTTAAATGCGACATACGTTGTTCAGACTGTTGTCCTCTGGTTGACCCAGCACATTATAGCTTACACTGACGCCAGCAGGTCCATAAACAATCAGAGCAAACAAACTAAAGAGAAACCCACCACACCTAGCATCCTAGTATTCCATTTTGAATCCATCACAACATATTATTGCATCATAAATCAGTTATATACAAAACAACTTTTCCACGGACTAGTAGGGAAAAAATAAACTCTTTGGTGAAGTTTGTGTTTTACTTATTTCTTCTAGGGTTAAATGATTGATATGAGGGATTGTGAAAAGTATTGGCGGCTGAGTCAAACATGGAAAAGAGGCGCAAACAAAAGTGACCAATTTCAAAATAAAATACCCCTCAGACCATTTTATATATATTATATATTAGGGGTGCACAATTTATCGGCCCCGATTTCCTTAATTTTGGGAAATCGGAAATCGGCCGATACTTCATGAGAAACCAATTTTTTTTTTAGTTTTAACAATTGTCTAAACTTCATTTATATTTCAGTGCACAACCTCATGGCCAGTTAAAACCAGTTTGTATTGTTTCTAGGATATTGTTCAAGGGGTTTTTTTTCTCAATAAAATAAGATTGGAAAATTGAAGGTGCATTGTGAACTTATAACACCTGACAGTGTTGCTAATACAACAAAATTGGAATCAGCAGGTCAGACTTATTAGAAATCGCTGATCAGCCAGAAAACTGCAATCGGTGCACCCCTATTTTATATATATATATGTGTGTGTGTGTGTGTGTGTGTGTATATATCAGAGTCAGAGAGATTTATTTGTCATACACACCACACATGGTACATGAGGTGGGACGAAACTATGTATGCAGGGTCCCAGTTACATCCAACAAAAACACAAATAGTAAAGAAAAAACATTAGTAAGAGCAGAGTCATGAACTAAGAATATACTACATTCACCAAACTAAGAATACACAAGACCAAGAATACACAAGACTAAGAATACACTAAGCAATGATGGTACAAAAACAATGCGCCAAAAAAGACTGGCATGAACATGAGTCTGTGTGAGCAGACGTGGACTAATGAACACAGCAACCTGAAATATATATACAAACCGGATTCCAAAAAAGTTGGGACACTAAACAAATTGTGAATAAAAACTGAATGTAATGATGTGGAGGTGCCAACATCTAATATTTTATTCAGAATAGAACACAAATCACAGATCAAAAGTTTAAACTGAGAGAATGTGTCATTTTAAGGGAAAAATCTGTTGTTTCCAAATTTCATGGCATCAACAAATCCCCAAAAAAAGTTGGGACAAGTCCTTTTTTACCACTGTGTGGCATCCCCCCCCCTTCTTCTTACAACACTCAACAGACGTCTGGGGACAGAGGAGACCAGTTTCTCAGGTTTAGAAATAGGAATGCTCTCCCATTCATGTCTAATACAGGCCTCTAACTGTTCAATGGTCTTGGGCCTTCTTTGTCGCACCTTCCTCTTTATGATGCGCCAAATGTTGTCTATAGGTGAAAGATCTGGACTGCAGGCTGGCCATTTCAGTACCCGGATCCTTCTCCTACGTAGCCATGTTGTTGTGATTGCTGCAGAATGTGGTCTGGCATTATCGTGTTGAAAAATGCAGGGTCTTCCCTGAAAGAGATGACGTCTTGATGGGAGCATATGTTGTTCTAGAACCTGAACATAGTTCTCTGCATTAATGGTGCCTTTCCAGACATGCAAGTTGCCCATGCCACAAGCGCTCATGCAACCCCATACCATCAGTGATGCAGGCTTCTGAACGGAGCATTGATAACAACTTGGGCTATCCTTGTCCTCTCTGGTCCGGATGACAAGGCGTCCCAGTGTTCCATAAAGAACTTCAAATCGTGACTCATCTGACCACAGAACAGTTTTCCATTTTGCCACACTCCATTTTAAATGACCCCTGGCCCAGTGCAAACGTCTGAGCTTGTGGAACTTGCTTAGAAATGGCTTCCTCTTTGCACTGTAGAGTTTCAGCTGGCAACGGCGGATGGCACGGTGGATTGTGTTCACTGACAATGCTTTCTGGAAGTATTCCTGAGCCCATTCTGTTATTTCCTTGACAGTGGCTTCCTGTTTGAGGTGCAGTGACGTTTAAGGGCCCGGAGATCACGAGCAACCAGTAGAGTTTTACGGCCTTGACCCTTACGCACAGCAATTGTTCCAGATTCTCTGAATCTTTTGATGATGTTATGCACGGTTTATGATGATAACTTAAAAGTCTTTGCTATGTTACGCTGGGTAACACCATTCTGGTATTGTTGCACTATCTTTCTGTGCAACAACGGTGGAATTGTTGATCCTCTTACCATCTTGGCTTCTGAGAGACACTGACAC